TAGAATTATCTCCATAGCTCAGCAGCTATGGAGACCATATCCATCCCGCATCTGTAGGTACAATGCTAGTAGTATTCATTCTAACACAGAGTGTTTTGGGTGACATCCCTGTGGCAACTCTAGCAATGGGTTATATGGGAAAACAATGCTAGAAAAGCGTTTATATATTTTTAGCTACTTCACTGAGGTGCAAAAGCCTGAAATTAGGAGGATCAGCACAATGTGACTAACTGCTTCTCCAAAGACCACCAGCAATCACTCTACAGATCACAACACTGGTTTAGATTGTGTGAAATTTCCACAGCATAAAATTGACCTAAATTAAGCTAATTTTGCTGGTTTATTAAACCTAACCTCCAAAGGTATGTCTTGGTGGCTATTTTACTGATCAACCAAGTCAAACTGCAATAAAACTGAGAGTCGTTCATGCAGGTCTACTGTTTTCATCCTGCACAATGCAATCACAGTGGGGTGAGCTAGGGAATCATTTACTTCAGCTAATTTAGCAAGCAGAGATAGTAGAAAGTATATGTCACAGTGGTGCATTAACTTGCTTGCATTAACAAAAGGCAGCCATGAGCTGAAGGAAAGAAGGGAGGCATTTGAAAAGCGAAGGAAAAAAAGTATTCCAGCAAGTAACAGAGCCAATACCAGGCATCTAAACAAATCTGGCATTTTATCATTGTGACTCTCCCATGCATGTTCCCACTTTTTGCTTTCTTGGTGTTTTTCTGTTGTTGTTGTGTCGGGTTTTTTTTAGGGGGTGAGGGGTGTTGGTTTTTGTTGTTGTTTTTGGGGGGTTTTGTGTGTGTGGTTTTGGTTTTGTTTGTTGTTGTTGTTGGGTTTTTTTATTAACGTTGACTTTCTTCTGCTACTAAACATACATCCTTCATCTAATGGTGGAAAACCTCCACTCTATTCAGCAGTTTGTACATGGTTTCCCAGAGGTAAGAGTGATAATCTCAAACCTTGACCCTTTTACCCAGATTAAGTATCCATGAGACTTCATAACCAGCTTATCACTGTTCTATAAACTCACACAAACTGTTCCCTGACTCATGTTTCAGCTGGGAAGAGCAGCAACAGGTAGGGTTTCTATGCAGATTGAAATAAAGCCTACTTATCTGTTACCTGCTAAATTAATTTTCAAAACTCTAGGACATCCTGCTCTTCTGCTACCTACAACCTTACTTTACTAGAAAGTCATCAACAGTTTGGAAGAAGATAGGAAAAAAAAATCACAATTATCTTCCTGCTTAAAAGCCTAGAAACAGTAAAACACCATTGATATTACTGCAGTACTTGTCAATATACAAAGCAAAATTCCAGCACACACAGATTATTTTTAGGACCAGGATGGGTGAATTTAGCATAAGAGAATTTATAATTTCTTTAGAGATTTGAAAATGTATTCTGAGACACGGAAGTTAAATAAATGCACACGAATTTCATATAGCTAACAAACAATCAGCTATTTATTACTCTCAGTTTCCTTGAACCAACATACACATTTATTAATACCTGGATTGAAGGTATATGAGTACTATCAGAATCCACTATCACATCCACTATGTTGGATGAAAAACCCCAGCTGTACTATGCATTAGACAGACCACAACAAATACTAGCCAGACTGCAAGGAATAAGGCAAAAACCATATGGCAGTGTCTCTCCACATGCTCTGTCCATGTATTTCCAGCATCCCTCAAGCCAAAGTATCCAATAGCTAATAAAACTCAGTTCTTTGTTGAAGCACAACAGTTGCTAGATTGGCCCTCAAGAAAAACAGGAGTGGTCTATGATTTTCCTCTCCACAGGTTTTGAACAGAACAGCAGTGCTGAATGACAGTTAATGGTGGAAAGGAGACAGGTGAGGAGTTCCTCTTTCCCAAGCTTTGTATAAAAAAAAAACCCAAACCCCCAACCTCTCCCTCCCCCTGCAAAACAAAACAAAACAACCACCCCCACCCCAGAAAAAAAAAAAAAAAAAATTTAAAAAACCCCTGAAACTGAAGGGCAAAACTCTGGAATGATAGAAATAAATACTGCTTCATGCGATACATAATTAGTTTTGGAGATTAATTGCCAAGTGAGTTGAGGCAAACGACTGTAACATCAAAAGAGGGTCTGTCTTCTTGTGTAAATAACGAGTATCTGAAGTTATAAAGAGCTAATGTCAACAAAAAGCATAAAAAGTCTCATGCTTTGAGGTTTAGCCCTGTCTTTCTTTAATTACTAATTAGCAAAATTTTATTTTCCTGGGGCTTATTCTGCCACCAGAGTGACCCTGTGCTTCTTGCTGTCAGCACAAGATACCAGGACGCAGGGTTGACTTGGGCTGACAACTTCTGTTGTCATATTTATTTATATTTAATATTTAATATTTATATTTATTTATATCACTGTCATGCTAAATGTCCTTAGCATGATCAGGGTGAGATTTTCTATGAAATGTACTGTTAATCAGCTTCTACCCTTAAATGTTTGCCATCTAAAATACTAGAAAATAGAATTTCTCACTAAGACTTTCCATTCTTTCATCACAGCTGCAAAGGCCTAACACAAAACATGTTCCCAAAACAAACAACGCATGCACTAACATAACTTTGGCAAACAAAAGCTGGAAAGAAAACTGGTTTCCTTTATTTCACTGCATATACTAATGGTGTTTAGGAATGGACAATTACTGTTTGCATTTCTTCAAAGCAGATGCACTGGAGTCTCTCTTTTCATGCAATGGTCTGAAATTCACCTCATACAGAACTAAAAGACGTAAGATATTATGAACATTCTTCCCAGGTTGAGAAATGTTTAGTATTAATTTGTTCCAAAACATCTAAACATGTTGCCAGTTTTCATTTGCCAGAAGCATCTAGTATCTTCCTTCATGCTGACATTAAATTTTACACAGAAAGTACAAGAGCTGATAAACTGTACCAATCAAGAAATTGTCCCAGAGAGGTGGACATTTTGTTCTAAACTTGCCAGGTTTGAAATACTCATGTGTACAGGCTTATTTACAAACCTTCAAAGTCTGGATGAATTTCTTTCCCTTCTCCATCTGTGACTTTTTCTTAGTGACTTAAAATGTTTGCCTAGTACATAAATTAATCGTTTAAAACTTTTATTTAATTAGCAATTGCATGCAGACCAGGAAAAAGGAAAAACTATCACACATTTGAACTCTGCTGATTCCAGGACAAATTTTGCTGTTTATTATTTACTAGCTAGCAGAAATTGTGCACCTAATAAAACCCCTGCATCCTATCCTGGACATGGTGCTTCCATGTCTGAATGGGTCCAAACTTGCATTTGGTTTCTTAAGGCAGGAAGCACTGCTCATGTACTGATGGGACAGTATTAAGGTATTGTACAAAAAATGAGTACTGTGTGATTTATGAGTTTATTCCCTGTTTCACGGGGATAGATTCAGGGACATCCTGAATGCAGTAAGAATCAAAAAGAAGCAGATGGGGAGACCCTGACCAGAAGGAGTGGTTTATACTCACCTACTACAGAGAACTATGATTACTACTACTACTAGTGTTGTGGGGCTCCAAGATTTTTCCCCTCTAGAAACAACTCTCAGTGAGAGAGCAGAGGTGTAGTCAGCAAGCTCTTGTATTATTCAGATTCCCCAGATCTCCTGATATGCCTGGATTCATGTTTACATCAAAGGAACATACAGAAAGTCACTTATTTTCCCAACTCTGAGAAGGACTGGCAGTTCCTATTAATGAAATTCCTGATTTCAGAGTGTTTGCAGAACCACTATTTGCAATTGAACTAACAAGAGATGAGAATTTGTTCCCACATTTAAAACCCAAATTATTGTATTTTTTCTTCCATGGAATGGAATAGAAAAATACCTTTTTCCCTCTGGTTTCAGTAGATGTCTTTGCCTATTTTTTCTCCTTCCAGCAGACTCTGCACACTATCAACTCAATAACTGCTGAAACTAGGACTCCAAACTGTGCACAGATAAAGCTAAAGAACACAGTATTCTGTTCTGATCTTATGGTTGAATGCCTTGTGCTGTTTCTTGTCCTCACTAAACAGCATCACGTTTTAAAATGTCAGATATAGGAAACAATTTGGAGTGTATTTTTTTATAAACAACAGTTTTATAAGCACATGAACATAAATACAAAAGAAACATGCAGGATGGAAAATTGTATTACAGTTTTTACACTATAATATGTAAGATTATCAGAGATAGCAGTAAGCCACAAAGATTGGGTCTGGACTTTTCCTTCCTATTCTTTATGAGAAATCTGTTAACATCACATATACCACGTTTACTGCAGGTAAAGTAGACAGAAATAATATTTGCTGGAAATACTTTGCAGGCAAAACTTACATATACTATAAGGTGAAAATGATGTCAAATGGCTTGATCATGTTCTCTTGCAAGCTAGTAACTGGGGAGAAATAAAATCTCAGATGGCTGTCTGAGTACCCAGAATTCACCGTTGTACTGGGCCATTCTGCTTCTGCCTGGAGCGGAGGATTTGCTGGTATGGAAGACCTGCTGCCTAAAATTTAACTAATAAGATATCCTCAGCAGAATTATATTTCTTTCTTATATAGCTCAGGATGCCATGTTGGGTCTGTTTGATACTTTTATAGTTTCAGTGTAGTTTTAGTGGGGGGCTAAACCAAGTGAATTAGCTGTAATCTGGTACAAGTGTGAAAAGTCTTACTGCTTAAATAGTGAAAGTGTAGGGAGTGTCACTTTTCAGTAGCTGGCAGCCTTGCAAGCTGTCCAGGCAACTTCTATACCTCCATAGGTTCTCATTATATTTTAAATGGGTGTTGTCTTATCAAACGTCTTGGCTGCTTGCCTGAATAAATAATGAACCATGCCATCATAATTTTTTGACACTGAGCTGGAAATTTCAACGTAGTTCAAGACCTTGACTTATTACTTCTCATGGTCTGACATATATGAGTAAGTTGAATTCTCCCATCAGTAATGTAAAAAGCATTCACCCACTTACTTGCTGCTCAGGCAGCGTCTCAGTGAATATGAAGCCCCTCCTCCACAAGTACGTGAACATTCGCTCCACGAGCCCCAGGCATCCCACAGTGAGTCTCGGTCTTCCTCTGAGCGAGCTGTTCTGGAGCTCTGAGGAGAGGAAGAAGTTAAAAAATCAGGAAAATTCATTTAAAGGACAAAAAAGATATTGTTGCTAGTTTAATCTTTCTTTTTAATGGCTATCATCTTGGTCATAGAAAACACTGAATAAATCTGTTATTCTCTGACATTCCTACTGATTGGCAGCCAGTTCTTGTATGAATTTGTTTTCATCCTTTGAGTATCATACTCTGTCTCAGTTTGAGACTGGTGATGACTAAAAACACTTTGGACAAAAACGAGGCATGGGATTTTTCCTGATTAAAAGGAAGAGGTGGCATATTGTAAACAGAAATTGTGCTTTGAAGTTTTGTTGCTGTGTTAGGAACTGTGAAAGGGCCTTCCAAGATGCTCTTGAGGAAAAACAGAATCACAACATAGTGAATCAACATGATACAAAGGCATTCAACATAGCAACTTTCATGCACTCATCATAAGGAACTGAAACTATCGTTATTTATTCTCTGTCCAAAGATCTATAAAATTTTCTAGACAAAGATTCCCTAATCGTTTTATCACTATTATTTTCGAGGGATAAACCAGTGTATTTTCTTAAAAAAGAAAGTGCACACTATCTGAAGAGCTGGAGCTCTCCAATGTGAGGCACAGACCCAGGCAGTGCTGTTCTTAATGCCAGTGGTTGGGTGCACAGAACTTTATAAAGGAGCAGCAGTGATGTAATTGGAAATGCTCAGCTCTTCTAGGATTAGCTCGTAAGTGTACAGCTGAACCTGCCTCAAATAATGCAGTCAGGCATGTATTCAGCGTTTCATTTTCATGCATGCAAATGCACATCAGATTGATAGGGACGCAAACGATTTAACCATTTAGATAGATATTGTCTCTTACAGACAATATGGTTTTGCTGGAAGAAACTGAATAACATACAGAAACATGCAAATGTGCATGAAAAATGCCTGTGTCTGATGGAGATGAGGCAGTGTACTCCTTCACACTTGGTTTGCACTGTGGGCCAACACCTGGTAAATAGCATTTCTAACTGTATTTGGAATAAATGAGAAGACATGACAACTAGGGGAGGGAGACTTTCGAGGTACACCTTCAACAGAGAAACATCAGCAAACATTATTGCTAGCCCATGTTAAAGGAATCAACTGTAGCTTTCAATAGTATTTGAGACACAGAGCTAGCTCAACTGAAATAATTTTCTCTTCAGTGAAGCTTTCTAAAAGTTTTGTCATTAAATCTGAAACCTGATAAAATATACCAGTCTTGAATATTGTTATTCACAGGCAAAACCAGAAAATGTTAGCAACGGTTTAAGGCTGTGAAGAGTTTCAATATTTATCTGTGTACTGGGTTCAGCTACAGCAGTCATTTTTCTCCTTCTTAGTAGCTGGTGCAGAGCTGTGTTTTTGACTTTCAGTCTGGGAACAACGCTGATAACATCGTTGTTTTCAGTTGTTGCTAAGTGATGTTTACTCTGACCAAGGACTTTCTCAGTCTCATGCTCTGCCAGGGAGGACGGGAAGCCAGGAGGAAGCAGAGACGGGACACCTGACCCAAACTGGCCAAAGGGGTATTCCATACCATAGCACATCATGCCCAGTATATAAACTGGGGGGAGTTACCCGGAAGGCCCAGATCACTGCTCGGGTCAGGCTGGGTATCGGTCGGCGGGTGGTGAGCGGTTGTGTCCTCTCTCCTTGTTATTCCTCTTATCATTATTATTGGTAGCAGTAGTGGTTTGTATTATGCCTTAGTTACTGGAGTGCTGTTATCTCAACCCATGGGAGTTACATTCCTCCGATTCTCCTCCTCATCCCTCCGGGAGTGGGGGGAGGAAGAAAGGTGAGGGGGGAGTGAGAAAGCGGCAGCGTGGTTCCAAGTTGCCGGCTGGGCTTGAACCATGACAATCTGTTTAAGAGAGAGACTGCATTTATCGCACAAGATCCTGAATAGCCTGTGTCTGTAGAGCAAAGGACTAAGTCTGGTACATTAGGATAAGAAATGTGTGTTAACTGGGATTTATCAAGGTAAAAGGTTAACTATTCAGTATACTTTAAGAAACCAGGATGCACTATATATGATAATCTTTAACAATGAGAATATGGAAACCATTCATTCATATAAAATTCTGCAAGGGGATTGCAGTTCACCTACTAGTGTCATCGATGATACCAAATATACAGTCAGGCATAAGATTAGCTGCAGTGAAAGCCCCTGTCTTTTACTAGCTTTCTCTCTAGTCAGCTCAGTTAGAAGGTCAAAGTCTTGCACTGAACTCCATCCTCTTGAAAACACAAAGCCTGTAATTTCAGTGTTATATACATTTGCACCCTCTGTCGCTAGCTTCACATATCTGAAGGATTAAAGCATTGCCAGTGCTGTTCCCAAGGTCACATGGGAGTCTTCCTGCCCTGAAGTAACTCATTAGCTCATGAATCAGTACTTAGCTTACTCAGGTTGACAGAGTAATTGTATTATAGTCCTTCCAAAAGCCTGATACTACTCCGAGATAATACTGGTACAAGAAATAGTGGTAATTAAATGAAAGTGGATCATGTTAAACCTGCTTAAGTCAGATCAGACTGTGTGCTAAATTGGCAAATTTCTATGGAGATACTGTTTAAAGGAAAAAAAAATAAATAAATATTTGCAGGACACCTGTCCAGCCATTTTGTCTTTTTTCCCTCTCTTCCTGTTATTGCTTTTATCAAGGTAAAGTACAAAATCGATCTTGAAAAATAAGTCAGTCTCTTTGGCAGAATAGGTTAAGAAATAAAGGATTTTCTGCTTGGTAAACACACCAAATATGGTTATTTCTTCTGAAAGGAAATGTTCAGTGAGCAGCAAAGGTCGGGTGAAGGACCAGCAACACACCAGACTGGACACCCAGCCAGATCTCCCCAGTATTGCACAATGGTCCGCTTCTGCATTCCTCATGCTGCTGCTCATGGACCCTTCAATGGCACAAGGCTCCTTTTTTTAAACCAGAGTATTTTAAAAGGCAGATACACAAATGCCATTCAAGTAGAGTTAAGTCTGTTTGGCCTTCTGGCACAAAGAAGGTCAACCAATTTGAATGACCTTTAGGATCTGGTCCAAAGCATGCTGAGGTCAAATGTAAACTCCATCAAATTACAGGGGTTCAGAAGCAGAACTTTCAAGGAGCGCCCCACACAACTTGTAAATATTTTTATTTTTTTAATTAATCAAATCCTGTGAATGAGAAGGAAACTAAATGAAGCATGCAGAAGGAAAGCTTTCTTCAAACAGCTCTCCTGCAGCACTTCATGCTGATCCTGCTGTCCTATCTTAGCACTTTTGCCAAGTGGAGGTTGCCAGATATGCTACATAAAATGATTATTCTGTGGTGTGGCTAACCTCCACTTTCATTTTGCTTCATGGTACACAGTTTGCAGTAGCATTTTAAACACATGTAGTACTTCATTCTGCAGAACAGCTTTTGTAAAATAGTTTAGATGGGTAATTGAATCAGTTTTTTGTTGCTGTAACATTTAGTATGATGTAATTTTGTTTTATTTATATTAATTTAGACTGTGAAAAATGATACTGCATTTGCCTACTGAGTGTATAACAATTATTTGACAGTCTCAGTTTATCCTACCTTTATTTAAATGCGAAAGAATTTAACTTCAACACAATAATTGAAAAGGTAAAAGTAAAAATTAAAGTAACATATGTGAACAAATTCTGGCTATTGCCAGATGTGATCCATCCTTCTAGGATACAATCTCATTAACATTAACGTGTCAGATAAGAGGAAAAACACACCAATTTACTGAGGTTATTTCAGATGACTGCTTTCTGAAGGGTGTTGTTTATAAAATGAAAATGTATGTTTGCGCTTTTAGTCTTCTAAAAAGAAAATGTGTGTCTATGCTTTTAGTTTACATGGAAACAAATATCTTCAAACTGCTTGTCTTGATCGCTCACCACTGGTTGGAAGTCCAAAGACATAATTAAAAAAGGTTGCAAGGTAAAGTCATGTGAACCAAGTACTCTTACCTCATCACAAATTATAAGGATAAGCACAGCTAGACAGTCTAAGGGTCCAATTTTTTCTGAAATAAATTGTACTCCCACCCGGAGGAGAGCCATGTGCCTGTTATTTGCATTCCAAGATTTGTTATAAGACCTACATATTCCCAGAAAGCATGTGATCTCCAGCTGGAACAGGCTCCAAGTTTTCTTTTAACAAGTGGAATAAACATAATTCATTTCAACTCCATCCATGTTTAATGTTAAAGAAAGTAGAGTGGTTTTCCCTCCTGTAAACTACACAGTTAAGATTGATCTTGAAATTCTAGCAATGCCTGAAAAATCATTTTAAATCTGAAGATTGTCTATTACAGCTTCAAAAGATATATACCATTACTAGCTAAGAATTCACTGTCTAGAACAGATTTTTCTAAAGTATCTTATATCATTAATTAATAATTTCTATCCATTTTCAACAAAGTGAAATAAACTGAAGAATCTACATTAAAATACTCCTGATAACAGTCAAGAACATTGCAGTGTTCTTCAATACAACAACTCCTGCAGTAATTCTTTAAAGCCCTAAAGTTCCTGCCATAAAGAGTAAACCAAATCAAACAAAAAAAAAAAAAAAAAAAAAAAAAAAAAAAAAAAAAAAGAAAAAGAAAAAAAAGAGGAAAAAAGCAGAGAGGGGACATGCAGAGAGTAAAGCTGCCACCACTTAAAGCTCCCTTTAAGTAACATTTCTCTCCTAGAAAAGGTCTTATCCTAAGACACACCTAAACTGAGGGTGATCCTTCAGCTACCAAGCAACACAGCAGCTCTGGAAGAAATGAGTTTCAGGACTCCCAAAAGATTTCTCTAATGAGAAATAGAAGGAACACCTTCTGCTTTTGGACAAGAAAACAAAAAAGGATCATGAGTACAAAATGAAATCACTGTCAGTGGTTAGGGCACTCAGGTTAAGATGCTTGCAAAAGTTAAAAAAAAAGGCTTTAAACTGTGAGCTGAACAAAGGATGTCATATAAATGAAAATAATCTGACATAATCAAGTAAAACTAAAAGAGGATGGTATCCAATTTTATACTAAAAAAAAATAAAATCCAGTATCAGTGTCTAATAGTGATTTCTGACTTTATTAAAGAGTTGTCAGGCATTCATGTTATATTCAGACTAGGAGATGAACAACAGGTCTTTCCTACCCTTGCCACTAACACACAGTACACAGGAATAATATAAACTGCCTGGAATAGTATGTAAAAAACATGACAACTGTCACACTTGCTAAAATCACACGAGCTGCCTGGCCATTCAGGAGCTGAATCCATCATGAAAGAACCATGTTTCTTCTAAGAGCTTGTGTGTACACGTGTGGCTGAGCAGAGGGAGGAACATGAAAAGTAGCAAGACCTATGTTCGTGTCCTGGGACATATAAAAGGAGTTCAGCTTAAGAAAATAAATCTTGAATGTGTACTGGAATTGAATTTAAAATTTGTTTTGGAACTGTGCTATCCCTACAGAATCCAACTATTTGACACTGTCACACACTGACATACACACAGTGCACATAAATGCAGATCATATTGTTTAATTGCTCCTCAGTTTCTGAGGGTTCCAGTCTTCCTCCCCATTCAGCAGAACATTACTAAAGTAATATTTTTCAAACACAAAGTATATTCCCTAGGTTAAACAGCAATACTGATAGTGGAAAATGCAGCTAACCTCTTTTTGGACTACAGAACTGATACAGACTTTAAGCCACAGCTATTTCCCAGATGATATGCAACGCTGGGTTTGTTTAAGAAATTTAAATCATCTGGTTCTTATCATATTCCCACTGTTCAGGGGTATGATGAACTGTCAGTGACAATATGCAAGGCTCCTCTGAGGCCATTGCCTAAACTTGTCTTTTGCTACTGTGAAAATGATATTAGAGACAGAAAAACAGTATTTTTCCCTATTATGTGGCCTTTCTGACTCTCCCTTTTCAGATATATCCAAGTGTATCCCTATATGAATTCTTGCCAATCCATACATTCTCCTTCTTTGAGTAATCCTTGATCATCCTTCAATGTTAGTTTGTCGTGGACAACAAATACATACTTCACACAGTACTGAAATGTTGTCTGTAGTGAATCAGGAAGAAACTGCTCTCAGCACTTATGCAGGTGTGTAACAGCAGGAGACAAGGCCAGAGACCTCATCTCTTTTTAGGAAACATTTATTTCAAAACTTCAACCAACGTAAATATATGGTTTATAAGATTGCATTTGCACAATGTTGTGTATCTTTGTTGCATTTCATCCAAGGTAACAGCTGGATTACAGCTCATATGGGAAATTGCTTGGGAATCTCTGGCTTTTGAAGTACGGCAAGGCAGAACAAAATCACAGCCAGTTGAATTAATATTGGTAATTACTGTCAAACAAAATGTTAACATTCAAGACATTCCTGACTAGCTGTTGAAACTTTTCAGAGTGAATATCTTGGAAACATCATAAGTAAAATATTCTGACACGTTCAGTTTGCAATGTACAAAAAACATGTTTAATGCATCTAGGCAAACAGTTGCACATCATTTTAACCAGTACTGTAGGATCAAGTATATCCACTCTTCCAAAATAACTTTACCATACTGAAGAAAGGGTTTGTTAAAATAAGCCTTATCCTTGTGAGAAGCATAACTCCCGGCAAGCATTATGATTCTCCATGACAATAGTGGTCCTCCACTCCAAACAGATATCTGCCTATTTCATGCGCCTCGTAAATGCAGAGGTCCCTGGTCAGCCTTAAGCAACATAACCAAAGACTTAATGGGAATGAACGCCAACCTATTTTCTATTCCCAAGGGGCCTGTTTCAAGGTCAGGATGGTTGAACACTGTTTAGCTGCTGTGGTGGATAGCTTGTCTTCCCATTATCCTCACTGTAAAGATGACAGATGATTTCAGCCTCCAGACTTGCTACCCTCCAGAAGGACCACTCAAGCCAGAAAAACCTGCCTACCTGGCATTCTTACCAAAGTAATGGGAGTTCTGCTCTCACAGAAGTTAAAAGAAGATGAAGAAAGAAAATGCCCCTACGCCCAAGCTGCCAGAGCTGTTTATTGCACACGAGATACTGAGCAACCACAAATGCAATTGATCCCATGATTAACTGCATGCTGTTCCATGTGGTTCAAAAATATGCCTATAGAACTGTTCAAAGTACTGCTGATTTCTCTGGCAAACAACGTGGAAAGAAAAGTAGCTGCAATGAGCATTAGACATCTTGAGGTAGAAGTGGCTATACTTTGTACACTGGCTTCCCTGCTCCCTGGAGGGCAGCAGCTCCCTCCTACTGGGTGTGGGGGCTGTGAGCTGAACAGTACCAGCCCACTTGCTATAGGTTTCCACAGTCTTGGAAATGAACTGAAGAATTTTTTGTCTCCTTTGCACTTGCAAGACCAAGCAAAAGGCCTTCGAGGGAGTAATAAGAATATTTCCTATGGAAAACCCCTGGCACAGGAAACCTTGATCTGAGTGACTCCACGCCCCAAGGAAGGCACTGGCACAGGAGCACACATGTGTGAGGGAACATACTGTACTTCGGGTAATTACCGTACGCTTAGACTTTCCTAATACAGATAAATGGACCAGGGTAATTTTTTCTTTTTCTTTTTTTTTTTTTTTTTTTTCCCAGCCTCTTAAAAAGGAATAAACAAAAGCCAAAATCTCCTTCTGGGTAGTTTTTAATTTACCCTTTCTTCAGGATGCACCATTTCGACAACAGGGGAAGACACCTTGAAGAAAAGGGGAGAAGAGTAAATATCACTGTGATATTCTCTTGCAGTTTTTCAGTTCTTATTCAGCTCCTATGAACACAGACACCTGACACACATGCAGCTATCTTGGTTCCCAGGGCCATAAGTAAAAACTTGCTGTGTTAGTTTTTGTCAGCACCGAGTTTCTTTTTATCTTCTTTTAACAAGCATAGTCATGCAAGGCAGGCTCATTAGTAAAGGAATAGAAAAAGGAAAATTATGGCATGTTTTCATTTTGCACAGGAAAGCAGAGGTTCATCGAGGGGAAAATAATTCCTCCTCCCTTCCTAGTCATGTATGACCTGATATGGTCATTGCACAAGTAATAAGGACAAAGTGTCACACTGAACTCTGCCTCTTGAAAATAGAATGTGTAGTCTCAGTGTGGTAGACATTTGTACCATTTGACAGTCATTAGCTCTGCATATCAAGTGCTCTCTGAAGGATAAAAACACTCCCAGTGCTTTCCCCATAGTCCCATGGGATTCTTTCTGCCCTGAAGCAAGTCATATAGTTGTATATATGCAGTCTCTTAAATTTTATAATAAGGAGTACACAGCTTCTAGTCTGTAACGAAACTGGGAAGAAATGATAAACAGTCACCTCAGGACTCTAGGAGCTGAACAGCCATTCCTAAACCTGGACTGCAAGTTGTATCCCAGGAGAAATGTTCCAAACGTGAGCTCATTTCTGCTCCTAAAAGGGCAGCAGCCAGCTGGAGGTGTGGGTTGCTGGCAGAGGATGGAGTTGACACCATATCACTTCAACGTGGTGCGCGCTGCACTCCCCGTAACATTTTATAACAGTGCCTTACAAAACTCAGATCAATCCTATCTCTCACTCCACTTACTCGTATGAAAATATACACCAGGAGAGTGATGTCAATACAAGAGCTTTCCTTCTTGCTCTCACAGACCTGAGTTACAAAACCCAGTTGTATTTAAATCCTGCTGTGCTGGTGTGAACACCACGCATCGGTGATCCAATATAGAGCAGGTCCAAGCTGGCTCAGCCTCAGAATGTGTTGCCTAATCCACTCGGAAGGGTTTTCAAGGCTAGGACTAGTTCAGAGGCAGAATGGGTGAAATCACTTTCCAGAATTCAGAGCCCACCCAATAACATGGGTTCAAAAGTGCATCTCACATTTGAGGACTTTGGTTTTGTCTTCCATGTAGCAAGAACTGCGGCTGGGGAAAGAGCCCATAAGGCACACAGAAAGGAAAAGAGAGAAAAGTAAAACTGTTAACTGTTATCTGTGACAAGGCATATTGCATGCCAAGTGTTTTCTAAGTGGAGAGAAGTGAAACTTTGTGCTGGCTGGGCTGTGCTTGTCAGCTTCAACAAAAAATAGCCAACATTCCCAGCTCCACAGGTGAACCACTGTTTCTCCAAAGAGACAGGGTATTATACTGAAGTATACTGATGGTATATTAGCCATTTTTTCTTGCTTTACTGAACCGACCTTAAGGTTCAGATATTCACACAGCATAATTCTAACATAGCATAGATTTTAACAGCTTTGTTAGCACTAAAATGGCTCAGCCTCCTCATGAACAGTTCAGAACATTATGTCAAGGTGCCATAGGTTGCAGCAGGAAGATGGCATTCTCTGGTCAGGAGGCATTTCAGAGAAGGGAGAAGAGCTCTTCAAAGATTCGTGTAATTTCAGATAAACATCTGCAATTATGAGGTTTATTCAATATAAATGAAGCCTCATATTCTTCTGATGATCTGCCATCTCCCTCGGTTACCTCACAGAGCTGTGTATGTGTTTATTTTAACAATAAGGGGCCATATCAAGGGTTGAAACACCAAGTCTCAGTGGAGGCAGGAGAACTGAAAACTGAAAGGGAAATATTTATGTAAAAATGTATGGAGGGGAGAGAGGAAAAGGGAAGAAAAGGGAGAGAAAAAAGGAGGGCGGGAGGGAGAAAGGGAGGAAGGAAGTAGGGAATGAGGGAAGGGAGGAAGGGAGAAACGAAGGAAGGCAGGAAGGCAGGCAGGCAGGCAGGAAGGCAGGAAGGAAGGAAGGAAGGAAGGAAATAAATCATGGAGAAATCTCAAGATCCCAACTCTCTCAGCCTGTCTTCATAGGAGAGGTGCTTCGGAAGGACTTGAGCACTGTCAGGATATAAGCTGCTGCCAATTCATGCTGCCCTTTGATATCACAAGTGATGAAAATATTTATGTTTCTATTGCTTTCACCAAATAAAAGACACGTCTACACTTTGGAGCCAGTATGCTGCACAGAAATGGTATAAATTCCTTTCTATGCCAGCCTCAGTTATGGTAAGGTATGATAAAGAACTCCCTCTTGCCCTGGTGCTCATCAGCACTGATGGGTGACTGAGCCCATCACAGAATGATGAGACTGCTAAAGTTTGGATTAGCAAAGCATTTTCAAGATGTGGCATCTTAAGTTTTTAGTTTCAGAGATTATTAATGAACCAACTCCCTCTCCCCTTCAGCTAATTCAGATCTTTCATCTTGAAAACATGGCCCTAGCTAGACCTTTAAGGAACGTTATCTGTGGTACCACAGTAACTTGAAAATCCCCCATTCTTTTAAAAAGTTACAGAAACTATGAAAATGTCATATCCAAAGCACATTTACAATCATAATCCATCCACATACCAAATGAAAATAAAAGGCAGCCCTCAGGTTGTTAAGGGCAGTTATATTTGCCCTCAGCAACAGATGCTTTTAACAGTCCAGGCTGAAAGAAATACAGGGATTAAAATAAGCCAGTAAGTAAGTAAATAAATAAATAATCCGCTAATCAAATGCCAGCACCAGAACAGTAGGAGACCTTATTGCTTCCTTTATTCCCTTTCATATATGGGTCTGTTGATACAGCGCAGGATCTGAACAATACACTAGCAAACTTCAAACAGGGACTGAGATTATATCCAACAAAGCTAGAAGGGGAAATCTGACACCCGTACAGTACATTCATATGGAAACAAAATGAGTTATATTTATTTTATGGGACAGTTTGAATTTATTATAAGTTGCATATAATTTCCTGTCTCATTTCTTGAGCACTCTTGGAATTTATTTCAGGATGTCTTACGTTATCACAAACCCCCTCCCCTCCGCCCTGACACCCTCTCTGCTAAACTTGCTCTACAAGAAGTCCCTGAAATGCAAAAATCCTAAGGCAACCTCTAAAAGGTTGAAGCTTTGGAAGGAATTCCATAAAGACAGTGAAAACGAAAATGGAAACTGTGAAGATTAATGTACAGTAGAATAAGCCTATAAGCAGTGTCCAAATAATTCACAGGTGGCAGAACTATTAAGATTTCTATATATGATTGCCTTGGAAGCAGATTAAATCTCACAAGTACACACAGAGGTTTCCCTTCCCTGGTCATCTGTCTATACGGCCTTCCAATTTCACCACAGCTTCAGCCACTTTTACAAGAAATTTGGAAAAGTTGGGTTCTGGCAGCATACAGAAAAGGAAAAAATGCTTATATGTGAAATGAAATTCTAATCAGGGTACTTAAAAGGAGGAAAAAAAAAAAGCAAAAAGCTGGAAATGCACCTGGAGTTAGGAATCTCTGATATGGTAACATCTCAGTCAGTGAAGCAGAGAGAAGATCTTGGCCTAAAGTAAGCTTCAACACGTACACTCAGATTCAGGCCACAGCAAACCCACAGCACCCAGCAAAGGTCTTGTTTTGAAAATAAGATAAATTGGCCACTCAGAGGCTTCACAAGGGGATATTAATGAACAATGCTTTATCAAGGTATTTTAATTGCTCTTGTGCATGACATCTAAAAGATCAAAATAGAAACTTACTTTGTGAAAAGACTTTAGTACAAAGTCTAAGCAGGCAAAATTCAATACAGCTCTATTGCAGTTAACAAAGGCAAATCAATTTATATAGGTGATAGATGAGAAGCTTGCTCTTAAATCTCAGCTAATATTGTGCTTATGAACCATTATATTTGTCGTAACAGTTAGTATCCTGAGAATAGCATTTGCCATAACAGTTAGTATCCTGAGAATAGCATTTGCCACTTCCAAAAAGAAAGGCAAAAACTTTAAAGGCTAATGATCTCAACGATTGTGAGAGAGACTTCAACAGAGACAGGTAAGATACTGCATACAATTATCTTGAAAGACAAATGAAACATTTGAAAGTGGCATCCTTCCAACCACGACACCAACCTTTAAATCTTTTTAGTATTAATAATGCCCAATAGACAACCCTCTCTCTCCGTCATGTGTGAATAAAGAAAAATTTTGTCTGATTTAAAGAATAGGTCTGAACATGTACAGTGTCTCTTAGAGCGCATGATGGCAAATCTCAGACCTGTGATGAATAGCTTCACATTCCTTAGATAGAAGGATATCTAAATTAATAGATTGCAATACGCATTGCTTATTATTGATTCGTGTTCAACCCTACATAGCACTAAGGACTTAGAGAAGATTTTCCGTCACTCCACGAACATATATGTTTGAACGTATATTTGAGGAATATTATAAGACCTTGAATAACCAAAGCTGGCCAGCCATTTGTTAAGACAAGCCTACTGTCCATTGGCTGATGTGAAAATATGGAGATGCTGAAAGCTAAAGTTAGCCATTCCTGTATGTCATTTATGAAGAAGTTGTGTTTCACTCCGGAGTATGATATCTGATAGAATTAAGCATTCCATGCCAGCTTTTGATTAGGTGCTGTACACCACGTTAGAAGACTTTTTTCATAACTATCCTTGAATTGGCTGGAACAAGTAATTTCCTCCTTTTCCTGCTTCCCATCCTGATACCATAGCATCTGGTGGTTGACATGTTTTTACTTGTTTTTCAACTATCTTTAGCTTTCTGATTGTTTCTGATCTTATTACTCTTTATCTCCTGATATGACAGAACATATGACTCTGTGGCAACAGATTTCAATTTCCCATTTTTCTTCCATGTAATTATTACTATAGCTCTAATTTTT